TTTCCGAACGTAGCGAGAGTCGCACCAGCTCCAGTGGGCCAAGTTCTCCTTGAAACGTCTACAGTATCTGCAGGTTCTATCTTGTCCTGTGTAGGCTTTGCTGCGCCCCTTGTATCCCCTTGTATTTCCATGGAAGGTGATCAGCTCCCACACCTTCCTCCGGGTCTTCTTGTCCATCTTGAGTGTCCTTCTCATGATGATTCTTAACTGCTCCCTTCCGAGAGTAAGGCCGAGCCTGTTACAGGCCAAGTCCTTCCCCTTTCTCTCCCATCTCTCCTCCAGCTCAGTTTCCGCCTGGATGTCGATCTCCCTGCATGTGTAGGAGTATGGCGTTCTGAGCCTTATTGTCTCACTGTGATTGCCTCCTTTTCTTCCATAGGCTGCTGCCCAATCCGCCGCTTCATTTGGTGGGTGTCCAGCGTGCCCTTTTGTCCACGAAAGCCTGACATTAACTCCCTCTTCTGCTATGAGGCTGATAGTGTTCCTTATTCGGGATATCAACTCTGTTTCCTTAGATCCGATTACTGACTGCAGTGCCGCTCTGGAGTCCAGCAGGATTGTGATACTCTTGGTGGTCTCCCCTGAATCACTCCTATTCCGTATGGTACTAAGACCCCATTCTAGTGATTTCAGGACACCCAGCTGTTCTGCTTGGCAGATATTAGCTGGGCCGTCGATCTTGAAGGCCCTGAAGCCTTCCAGCCATTTAACAGTGTGTTCGTCGGATCCGACCTTGACAACTCCCACGCCGGCCTCCACGAAGCGTTTTCCGTCCTTCACCAGTGATCCATCGCTATAGAACTTCAGGTTTTCACCGTCCGTCCTTGGTTCCCTAGTGTCATCGATTGCCACCACCAGACTTGCCGGGATATCCCATACTTTGCTTTTGGAGTGTTCCTTACTGCCCACCGGCTCGGCCACCCCCCATTTCCGGAAGAGCTTAATTAGGGCGTCCGGACACTTGGGGGCGCTTCCATGGAGCCAAAACTTCACCACTCTTCGTCTGGCCTGCCACCAGGCTGACCTGATCACCGTTGATGCTGCCTTGGAAAGGAGTTCCGAAGGCGCATTTCTCACTGCCCCCGTGAGGGCTCGGCCCAGTATTGCTTCCAACTTGCAACATTGATTGATGAACCAGGTTCCCTCTAAAGCCGGACACCAGATTTCACATGCATATAGTAGAGTGCTAAGAACACTCGATTGCCAGACTTTCAGCAGTGTAACTGGGCTTAGGCCCCAGTCGAGGCCGTTCATCCTCCTGCATTTTGCTAAGATAGCGGTGGATTTGGAGAGGGCCCCTATGGCGTGGTCTCGCCAGTTCCCTGATATCATCACTCCTAACCATTTCATTCTATCTTTGACACAGGATACATCCTCTGACTGTGTCCGTGCTAGCAGGTCTTTAATCGTCTCCTTGGTACCCTCTCTCAAGCAAAGGATTTCATGCTTCGCTGGGTCTGTTTCCAGGTCAGCTCCCCTGGCCCATTCCTCTATCGCATTTGACGAGTCCAAAATTCCTTGCACTATGTGTACAGGTTCCTTGGCATGTATCGATGCCATTATGTCGTCCGCAAAGATCCTGGGTTTCACCGTAACTGCTCCGTTTGCCGGGGATAGGGATCTTAGCTTTCCCTCTAGAGAGTAGGTCCCAATGCAGAAGAGGCAGGGAGATAGTGATCCTCCCTGAGTGATTCCCTTGGTTCTCACTCTTGTGTTTCCATCCAGGGTCACCGTGTGGCCGTGTAGGTAATCCTCAATGAAAATCCCCCAGGCCTCCGAGGAGGTGGCTTGAATCACTGCTCCAACAATGTGGGGGTGGGACACATGGTCGAAAGCAGATTTCAGATCCCAGGTGCATAATACGGTCTCGCCATCGGTCTGATTCCGGTCCTGCACCATTCCCACTATTGGTGCCAGAGCTGTGATGGTGCTTCTAGATCTCGTGAACCCGTGGATGCCTTCCGGTGGGTTCCCGATTGCTCTGGTGAGCCTGTTTTTAATGACAACTTCCATTGTTTTTCCTGTTGTGGAGGTCAAGGATATTGGGCGGAACGCCCTTGGGCCCTCGCCTCTTCCCTTGTCCAATAGAACCCAGTCTGCTCGCTTAAATGGTTGGGGGTAATGCCCCCAATCCAGGCTGGTTTCGAGAAGCTTCACAAACTGCAGCCTCCATGGTGCTTCAGTTAGGTTTAGTGCTCTAGCCACATGTTCGTACGATGCCCCGTCCCAACCAGGAGCTTTCTTTTTCTTGCCCCTGATCTGGGAGACTACTGCCTTGATCTCATCGTCCGAGATTTTGCCACCTAGCGTGTTTAAAAGGCCTTGGTTACGTGCTCTCTCAGCAGTGTCCCTTCTGGGCCGGTTATTCCCTACATAGTAAGAGAGGACTTCCTCGCTGCTGTACTCCGTTTTAGCGGAGTGTTTGTACTTGATGAGCCTATTCGCTTGGGAGTCCGTGAGTTCTGTCATAGTCCTTCTATAGTGGTCACTTTTGGCCCTGGAGATGGCATTGAAGTAGGATCTACGAGCCTTCCTCAGCTCTTCGCTCAAGCCCGCATCCGATTCGTTGTTACGGTGCTTGGCCCTGACTGACCTCTGGAGCTTCCTAAGCTTCTTGCGTTCCTTTCCGAGTTCCTTGGTCCACCATTCCCAGTTCTGTCGTGTGGTTTTCTTTCCCTTCTGTTGTGGGGTGGAAACAACCACTGCTCTTTTCAGGGCGGTCATCAGCCTGGTTGCCCACTCATCAATATCCTCGGAGTTTCTCACAGTAGGTATCGTCCTAGAGATGCCTGCTAGGCTTGAGTCGAATACCTCCCAATTAGTCTTATTGGGGTTCCTTCTTGGCTTGGCCCGTGGCGGAAGGCCCATTTGCCTGAAAGTGACTTTAATGGGTCTGTGGTCCCCCACCGAGTTCTCCACTTCACTATCCAGCCAATGCAGCCCTCTCCCAGCTATCACGTCTATATAACTCGCCTTCTTGCGTGAGTCATACGGGATATGTGTCGGGCCTGCTTCTATTCTATTGAGAGTCTGTAGGGCATTTTCTGCGAGGAGTAATTCTAACTCTTTGCCCCTTTTCCATCTTACGTCCAATCTGTTATTGCCGTTATGCTGGGGGGACCATAGGGAAGAACAAGAGTTCGTGTCCCCTCCAACCACCACTGCTCCATCTTTCGTTGCCGAGAGCAGGCAACCCAGGGTCTCTATCATGTCTCCAATAGGGTTTTTCTTGTCAGCATAAAAGCTGATGAAGTTTACCCTGCTACCACCAATGAGAATCTCTGTCGAGACTGCATCCTCGGCGCAGCGGTGTGCTGAGTGCACTCTGCACTCCTTTGGAAACAGTATAGCTGCTCTGCAGAACGATCTAGCACCTGGGTATGAGGCCTTCGTATTGGGTTTTGCCTGTACCAGTGTGAAGCCGTTATATGAATCACGATTTCTAAGTTGTCCTGGACATTCCTGCAATAATATAACTACGTTGTCTAATTGTCTACCTTGCGCGTGATGACTAAACCAGTCATCTAATACCCCCAGACTTCTCCCCACATTTAACGATACTACCGAGAAGGTGTATCTCTCTGCGACCCGGTGGGGAGGCTCCGAGCCGCTCCTAGTTGGGATCATTGTGCTACTCCGGCCGACTCCCGGCCGGAG